AACAACAGTTCAACCACTTCCCAGCATAGCGCCTCCCCACGCATTTGTACGTTAGGTTCGGTCTGATGTTTGTACAGAAAAGAGAAATGTTCATTGCGGAACCACAGAAAAATCTCTCACTCTAATTTGGTAGTCATACGAGGGCTGCTTGAAAAGTTGTAGAGTCATTAGGTTAATTGGAAGCAGAAAAGATGAAAAATATGCAACCACCTTCGCCGGGAAACGAACCACGGACCTCTGGAATACCGGCCCAGCGTGCTACCATTAAACCACGAAGGCACGCTAGGGAAGTGCGAGAAATACCTTATATACTCCCCTTTTTAAAGAGCGACTAGGGTTTTAGGGGACCTAGTCGCCAAATCCTGGGTGCGGAGAATCATTATCCACAACCCTTTTATGTTCGGACGCCACTTGTAGAGACATTAGGATTTTTTTGAAAGCAAGAGAGATGAAAAATAACAATCACCTTCGCCGGGAATCGAACCACGGACCTCTGGAATACCAGCCCAGCGTGCTACCGTTACACCACGAAGGCACGCTAGGGAAATGGGAAAAATACCTTATAAAGTATCCGACTTTAATAAGTAGATCGCAACTCAAATCAACCGAAGTGTGGGGGGGATTGTTTGGGCATCACTTGATAACTGCCAATCAAAATTTCAGCTATTTTGAACTCGAATGTTTTGTTCGACAGTTACTTTTATGAGTTGATGTGACCGTTTTTGCATAAGTGGAAAAAAAGCGAGTATCGTGTTGTTATTTGATACTTGTTTTTGAAAGGTAATACGCGTACTCAGATTAAAGAAGAATTGGACACAGTGTACCTGAACGCTGCACAATCATTTACCACTGTGATAGTTTGGGCAGATAATTTAAACGTGGGTGTACCAGCTTGGATGACAATGAACTTTCAGAACGGCCCAAAAATACAACCACTGAAGAAAACATCGCTAAAATCCACCAAATGGTGCTAACGACAACGCAAGGTGAAACGGGACAACTTCTGTCCTAAGGCTGCCACTAGGCGCCAGTCAATATTACAACCACTGAAGAAAACATCGCTAAAATCCACCAAATGGTGCTAACGACAACGCAAGGTGCAACGGGACAACTTCTGGCCTAAGACTGCCACTAGGCGCCAGTCAATATTAAGTGCCGTCCCACCACATGATCAATCTACAATGTTGCGTTCCCACAGAGCAAGGGCAGACAAAGGAAGTACTAGTACTGTCCCTGCTGTGCCTTACTCTGTCCCGAGGACCCACAGGCCTTCTGTGAAGTCTACTATTTGTTTGTCCCCGTGGCTGAGACTGCCTAAGTACAGATCCTAACCAGTACTTCCCAGGGATTTCTCTGAATCAACACCGGGGGGTGCTAACGACAATCGAATTAAGGTTAGAGAGATAGCAGAGACTATTAGTATGTCCAAAGAACATGCTGCCACACATTGAACTAAGATTTAGATAGGTGCAAGCTGGCTTTACGTTGGATGCCGCGTTTGTTCCCTTTGGACCGAAAACGTAACGGAAACATTTGCACCATTCTGTTGGCACAAGAAATCGGATGTTTTCCGACTCGTAATCACTGTAAATGAAACCTGGGTTCATCATTACAACCCAGAAACAAAAACAAAGTCAAAACAGTGCAATGCAAAGGGAGAATCAGCTCCCCAAATAGCAAAAACTGTTCTTTCTCCTGGGAAAGTGATGGCAACAGTTTTCTGGAACAGCCATGGAATTATCTCAATATATTATCATGAATAGGGAAATCCATTACCGGAGAATACTATGCAACGATACTTGACAAGCTAAAAGCAAAAATTGCGAAAAAAGGTGACATTCTCAAAAGAGAGAAAAAAAGAAAAAAAGAAAAATCTGAAAGCTTTCAGATTTCACATTGCGTCCAAAGAAGCGTTTTATTAACGTTTTGTGTGTTACCTTTTCGTATTAAATATCATGTTCTTCGCACTTAAAACCATAAAATTCAATTCAACAGAAATGTCACGAAATATTTCAGAGAGCATAATTTTAAAGCATGAGATGTAGAAAATGTGCAGTGCCATCACTGGAACTCGAACCCTGGACCTCTAGGACAGCGGGCGCCAACCGGTGGTCCTCGGACCACTGGCGGTCCGTGAAAACGTTTTGATGGTCCGCAGAAAAATTGGGACATTATTTATATTTATATGAAGACTCAATTTAAAAAATAACGAGTAACAAAACCGATCATGGAATGTGGATTATACTTTTTTTTTTTTAAATTTTAGCTACTACCTTTAGCGAAATTCCTTCTGAATTTAGCGATTTTTTAGCTACTTTTGCAGGTATTCCTAGTAACATTTGAAAGGAAGAGTTGGCATCCATGGATATGCTGCTGTTATCAATAATGGAATTCTCTTTCCTTTTGAATTACAAACATATTCTACAGTAAGTCGTTAATAACAGTTTTTCTCCGTGGCAATAGGCAACTTGATGGATTTTTATGAGAACAATATGTTTATAATTGCATCACTAGAAGTTTCCATTTTTGTTTCCTCTAACTGTTGATCGATGTCGCTACTGCGGAATAAGCGATGATTATTATGTTTACAATAATTAAAAATTGGCGGCATAGCTCTTTCAGTTTATTGATATTGCTTTGCTTTTTCCGGTTTGTTCTTGCTTGTCGTGAAGTTCCGTTTCAGTGATATGGAAATGTGAAGCTTTCGGTACAAGAAGCTCAGATTTTTGTGCTTTTCATATAATTTTTCAAAGTGAACGAAATATGTGTATCAGTGAGATGCTAATAGTGCTTTTTGTTACTCATAATCAAGGGTGCAGCCTCAATTTCCATAAAGGCATGCTGCTGAACACCAAATGTTTCGAAAATTATATTAATAAATGAAAAAATAGAATTACATGCATTGGAAAGTTGAATATTGTTTTCGCGTGTTAATATGTTGTTTTTAAAGTCTGATTTAAGGTTTATTTTTAATAATTCATATTAGTGGTCCGCCAAATATAAAATTATATATGTAAGTGGTCCGTGAAGTTCTAAAGGTTGACGACCACTGCGACAAGGGCTATCTGCCTAAAAGGGAGTAATGCTTTTATGGAGTATTTTCTGAGGGAAGCTCGCTCGTATACACGTTACACATGACGAAAATGCACATACAGCCACTCCTTCACCTGGAATCGAATCCGGATCGAAACTACCAGTGTTCAGAGATTTTACCGATCGGCCGCTTGTGGACTCCTAGAAATGGAGAAATGCAGATGTGTGACATTTATAATTTAGGTTTTACTAAAAATTAGTTATATTAATGACTGTCGTATGTCCCTTACGGTATTAGCCTAGACAAGAGATTTATGCATAGTGTACAGCAAGCGACATAGTTAAAAACTAGGATATAATCTTAACCGTAAGCCTATAATGTATTTCTCCCACCTTCTTGGCGTGCCTTTGTGGTGTAGTGGATCTGCACACTGGGCGGGTATTCCACAGGTCCATGGTTCGATTCCCGGGGAAGGCGATTGCTCATTTTTCATCTTTTTCCAATTAACCTAATGTCTCTACAGTGGCGCCCGAACTAAAAGGGTGTTGGATGAGGCTTCTCCTCACCCAGATGGCGATTGGGTCCCTAAAAATCCCGTCTCCCTTTAAAAGGGGGGTTATATAAAGTGTTTCTTCGCTTCTGGCGTCCTTCGTGGTGTAGGGTTCGCACCGAGGCCGCGTATTCCAGCGACCGTGGTTCGATCGCCGGCAGAAGTGATTGTCCTTTTTTATCCTCCGGCTTTTCCAATTAATAATGCCTCTAGAAGCCTATGGAACTTGTTTCGTGATTCGGCAGTTTGCCATGAAAGCCGGCTGCAGAATAGAGTTCCGACGGTTGATGCTTGTAAGTATTAAGAAGTACTAGTTTTTTTTTTTTTTTTTGTTTCAAAAGTGTGTGTTTTTAACGACGTTTCAGCTAGCAGATGGTGACATTTATAATTTAGGTTTACTAAGTTATTATGACTGTCGTATGTCCCTTACGGTATTAGCCTAGACAAGAGGTTTATGCATAGTGTACAGCAAGCGACATAGTTAAAAACTAGGATATAATCTTACCTGTTAGCAATTCTTTTTAAAAGTAGACGAGAAGTGTCAAAGTTGAGTTTGTTTTCGTTTTTGTACAAATACTAACATTTGGTGGCCAATAAATGTTATAATACATTTTTACTTTTGAACCTTATCTTTCGTTTCGCAATTAAGCAACACAAGACCATTAGTGTGACTCGGTCAGTTTAAACCAATGAAATTATAAATCTCATAAATAACAATTTCTTTAAAAAGTAATATTTTTTTTTCTGAGAGTGGAAAAGTTTCGAGAACGCTTAGGTGCGAACTTTTTAAACTGGAAAAATCTATCGAGTTTAGACGGGTTATGCTAGAATATTTATTATAATGGAAATGAGAAAACACCTGGAACTTCTTGAATAAACTTCTTAAGCGGGACGCTTCTTAAAGGGGTTTTACTAATTCATACGAATGTGATATATTTTATTTATAATATGCATAATCTTTAGACATTATTATAATTAATTAATGAAAGAATGTTCCCTGCTTCATATATTAAACGCCTCCGTTACAGAATTTATTATTTTTTCATGTTAATCATTATTATTTTTTTGTCTTTTTTAATCCCCTTCTTTGCGATGTATCTATCGCTTTAATCTGGGAAAGTTCAAAATGAATTTTCCTGCACATGCCAGCGTTAAAAATGGACGAAACTCGCGGTAGAAGGAAGAAGAAAAATAATCCTCCCAATGACAAGAGGCAAAAAAAATCGCATTATTTCTTTTTCTGCATTCGTTCTTCGCCGAGTAGATAAACTAAACAAATATATAAATATTCCCAAGCAGATGAGGCAGCTTTAAAGATAGCTGCGGCCGGAAAATAAAAATCCCTGTTTGGGGACCGAAATTCCCCACTCCTTCTCGGCGCCTGCGCATTCGCCGCTCCTCCGACAGACCGTGGAATGTAACAGACGGGAGAGGAAGCCGGAATGCGATGCTTCCTATCGGAAACGTCTCCAAATCCTCGATCCCCGGATGATGAACTGAGTGTTTCGCAGCCACGGCGAGCGTAGGAGTTACCGCGGGCTTCGTGGGGGCGGCCCTCGGAGGCTCGGGGGTCCCTTCGGGCACTGGGCCCCCTCCGAGCCTCCCGCTGCGTATGCACGGGGCCATCCGCCGTTTCAAGGAGATAGGGTCAAGCTCCGTGAACTTGGCCCCGGCGGAGGACGGTGAATGTGGCGCAGCGACAGGGGCCACCACGGTGATTAGCAGGCGGCGGCGATACTCGTCGACGGGACACGGCGGCCGCCCCAGCGTCGGCTACCGCCTCGGTCGCAGGAAGGCCCTGTTCGAGAAACGCAGGAGGGTGAGCGACTACGCCCTGATCATGGCCATATTCGGGATCGCCGTCATGGTTGCCGAAACAGAGTTCTCGGCCGCCGGGATATATGGAAAGGTAAGTTTGGGATTTGCTTTCTTGTTTATGTACAATGGCTCCCAGGGCGATCGTTCATCAAAAATATTTCGACTAACTTATACAAGAAAAGGTACTTAAATTAGGGCAAAAGTACTAAATTTCTGTTTACTGACACTAGATCTGAAAAAAGTATTATATAAAAGTATTATATTTATATTTGTCGATACTAAATCTGTTAAAAAAGTATTGAATTTATTTCCTTATTTATTTCCAAAGCATGATCAGCTAGCAACAATACTTCGTAGTAACTTTTGCAAAAAAATATGGGGTAGATATGGAGGAAAAAGTACTAAACTAATGTTTACTGATACTAGATCTGAAAAAATTACCTAATTTTAGTTTGGAGAAAAGGATACTAAATTTGCTTTTATGCGTTTATATAGAGTGACCACCTATTAAAAATATTTCGTACTAGCTTATACAAGAAAAGCTCTACCATTATGTAATTAATTAACTCAAACACTACTAAATACGTTTGCTGGGACTAGTCTGGGGAAAAAGATTTAATTACTTTTCCTTATTTTGTATCTAACGCTCCCTTCTGAAAAATATTTCCGCAAGTACCTATCAGCCGCGCATACAGAAAGGTAGGCCCAGTAAGTACTAAATGTGTACTTTAGGCTTAAGATCATTACTAATTGGAGCGTTTTATGTTAGTTTCTTTACTTGATTTCATGAATTTTTAAAAAATGTAAATGCTTTTTTTACCACTAAACTCCTAAATATTTTTTCCTCATTAAAAAAAGATTTGAAATCTTTCTTTGCTTAAAATCGTTTAATGTGAAAAAAAATCTTTTACTTTTTTCAATCCGATTTTTTTGTTATTCTCATATGAAAGGTTACAGAAATTAATGTTACTTTAAGTATTTGGATTTCAGCATATTTAGGAATTCGTCTCAATTCTAATAACACTTTTAATATATTTTTCAATTGCGACTATATTAGCTGGAATGGATGGGATGGGATTGCAGCAGACTTCCAATTAATCGGGAAAATGACAGGATCGACTTTGACGGTTAACAGAGCAAAAATAAAAAGATATAACCAACATAATAATTAAAAAAAACTATAAATCCAAACAAAAAATGCTACTAATTTAAAATTTAAGCGGATTTAATTTGGAGAACAAGTTCACTTAGTTTCTATGTGCGTATAATCAGCTCTGGATCAAATACTGCGTTTGTTTTGTTTCTTGATAGAAGCGGACTCAACGGTAGGATTACCTTCGAGTCGACTTAGTCGAAATTCGTTCGTATACACGTTTTGTAGTACACACGTTGAAGAAAACCATGACACCGCCCATTCAGCCAGTTCGTTCTCATGATTCGAACCTCTCAGCGAATTACTAATGTTTAGCGACTTTACCGCAGGGCAGCTGGTAGGTCTTACTGAGAGCAAGAACACACTTTAAAACGAAGAAAACAATAATTCAGAAGTCAAACAACAAAAATCAGCGTTATATTTACAAAATTTTCACAGGACTAGTTTCGATGGTTTTACCGAACCACCATCTTCAGCTGCAAAAACCGCAAGTGAACAAGATAGGAAATAAGATTAGATAAGATAAGAACGCCTGGACAAAATAAGCAAGTGGCGCCATCTGTTGGTAAAACCAGAACTAAAACATAATTCTTTAAAGGCCCGAAGGCAAATTTGGATTGGAATTGGATCGTTAACTAGAACAGAAAGATTTTTTTTGAATGTGAAATGCCTCTAGAAAATCCAGTTTTCCAATGGAAGATGTTTCTTGAATAATTTTGGCAGCAGGAAAATTGAAAGTGCGATTTTCAGACCAACAATGTTGGGCAACAGAAGACTTCTGTGTTTCCTTTTTTCTAACACATGCCTGATGTTCCTTGACACGAAATTTTAAGGCTGTCTTAGTTTGGCCTATGTAAAGCAAACCACACTGGCAAGGAATCCTATAAATACCCCAGGAATTCATATCCGGAATGGGGTCCTTGAGTACTGAACTCGGAATTTTATTGATGGGGAGAATGAACGACCCAAAAGTTAAATTTCTGAAAAATATGTGCAACTTTATAGCTAATTATTGATGGAAAGAAGGGAATGAAGAGACTTTTTATAATCTCCTAAAACAAGAGTGTGCCTTTTAGTGTATTGAGATGAGAATTTGTTCACTGCTTGATTAATAATATTGGGTGAAAAGCCCCTGTCAATAGCTATTGCTTTTAAATACAAGGGGTTCTTCATCAAGGGCTAGTTTGGAGGAGCAAATTGAAGAGCACGGAAAACATAGGAATAAAATGAAGCTAACTTTTGTTTAGTCGATGACATGATTTAAAGTGTGGTGGAAGGCAAACCGATGAAGGTTTATGGTAAACCGTAGTACTGAAGTTGGATGTGTTACATGTGACCAGAATGTCGAGAAACGGAAGAGAATTGCAAGTCTCAAGTTCAAAAGAAACTGAAAAAGGAACTCAATAGCAGGATCAATAGAATCATAGTTGAAAGAACTTTATTTAAATCATCTTTATTACCTTCAAACAGAGTAAAAGGTATCGTCTACGTAGCGGAAACCATGCCCAGGGAAGTTTAAGTTTCAAACAATTTTGATTCATAATAATGCATGTAGATATCAGCCAGGATGGGACTGAGGGGCTTTCCCATGGCTAATCCCTCAGTTTGCTTGTAATATTTATTTTGGAAAACAAAATGTGTTTGTTTCAAACAGAGTTGAGTGAGAGAAATTAGCTCATCAATTTCGATGCAAGAGAGATGAAATTCGCGAAGTCTGGTTTCTAGACATCTTAATGCACCCTCCACTGGGACATTGGTGAATAATGATTTTACATCAAAAGAAACCATGAGTAAATTACTAGGAGAAATGTTTTAAACTTTTTTTACAAACTCTATTGAATTGAAGAAAACAATATTTATGTTTATAGTATTATTCTCACATTTGAGTAGGAGTCAATGGAAAACCGAAAATTAATAGATGTACTCTTAATTTATTTTTACGATTTAACAATTTAGTTTTAACAGCTAATTTAACTTTGCTTATATATTCCCCATTATGTATAATTAAATTATGTACTGCTACGGATAAAAAAGAATTCCTTGACATTGCTACGGATAAAAAGGAATTCCTTGTACTGTGACATCGTGTACGGTCAGTGTCACTACCCCACACATTTTCATTTTCTTTTTGTATTTTCCATCTAAATTTTGATGGTTTTTGAGATAGTAAGTTTTTCGTCGTTCCACAACAAACAAGCGTATTGTTTTAAGCTCGTAGTCTGGTCGAAAGCAACTACACCTTTGAGGAATTAGATATAATTGTGTCTCCATTTTTCCCATTTCTATGACAACGTTATAATGTTCCTTAATACTTTGTCTATGTACAACGTAAAGGAACCTAATAAACTGCAGATCAACTTGTCGCTGAGTTCACGTGCGTAATAGCCAAGTTCAGTTAAGGGTTAAAATACCCTTTTATTCACTTAAAGAAATAATAACAGATGGTCCCTTCTCGGGCTTACAGGAAAGCCTTCACTCGGGGTTTTAACTCAAGAAACTAGGAAACTAAACTAAGAAATTAAACTGATATTATGTAGGATTCCTCACTGTGTAATTCTCAGTAGTATGTGAAGAATCTTAAGAACTAGTAAGCGAATAATCGCTTGAGTTCGTGAGACAATAAATAAACTTGGGTTAAAAGACCCTTTATTATTCAAATAAGATTTAACAGAACTCCGCCTCGGAGTTGTACAATAAAGCCGACACTCGGGCTTCAAATTAAGAGACTAAGAATTAAACTAATCAGAGATATAGCCGAAGCTATGAAACTTCTAACGGAGTTGGCCCCTTAACGCTCATTGACTACGAAGCTATTATGGGCCTAAAGTACGGCCGAGCGTAACAATAGCTTAAGAGAAAGCAGCCTAAAAAGGCGGACGCGTGCTAGCCAGAATATCTGGTTCTCTTTCGGAGAGTAGAAGTTCGCGGTCAAATACCGCTCTTCCTCAATTTACATTCAGACGTGATTCTAAAGCTACGTTCTGGCCGGAAGTGGTAAGTTGAAATTAAGAATCGATAGGAAAGGAACTTAACATTTATCTGTTCATAAAATTAACATAATCCTTACAACACGTTGCCAATTATACCTAACAAGATGTGACGCAAAATTTCGTATTACAAACTTGTCTACTTGCTGGAAAAATAAATTATATTGTGTTTACAAACGATCAACCGAAAGTGATATTTTACTTAAAGGTCGTCGTTATTTAAAACACGGAACTGGTGGCAGGTCATGTGATGGTCGCGTCAGATTTTTTAATGTGCCTCCATTTAGAGCAGGATGGAGAGAAGGCGGCTTTTTCGCCCTTCGAATGCATCTCATGTCGCAACAAACACCAATTTTATTTTTGAAATATCATTCTAACTTGAAAAACAAACCGTGATACGTTTTTCAAAGATAAATAATTCCATATTTTAAATCATATTATTTGTACAGTAACATCAAACATTTCAAATTGTGCGAGACTTTTGCGACCTGCTGTTTGATACCACGATACAAATAACTTATTACTAGAAGGCAGCAGAGCAAAACTCTCTTTCATACTGGCCCTACCAGGTGGCGAATATTTAAACTCGTAAAGTATTCGCTAAGAGACGCCCCAGGATAACCTTCCACAAAGGCATCGCACTCCAGACACACAACTATATAATAATTAATTCATTTAAAAGTGAGTGTTTGAGTGAGCACCACCAAGAAAGACCACTGATCTGGCCTTAGCCTCACAGTGTGTTATCTTCCTGGCAGAAACCATCTACTCTCTGCTCCATCCCGCTACGGGAACGCAGCCGAATAGACGGCTAAGAGCCTCATAAAGTCTATATGTAAGCTTGAAAGTTGTTGTTCAGGGAAAGAGTATCCTGTTAGGAATTGCTTAAAATAAGCAAGAAGATCAACAGACGTTTAAGAATCGCTGTTAGAATAACAAAACTGTTTAATA